CCTGGGCGGACCTACTGTGGTATCGCGAAGGCCCTGGATGAGTTACCACTGCTTAGCAACGGCCTTGCACGGAGACCATTTGAGCATTAATCACCACAACTTTTAATTATAAGTCCAGGTGAGATCTAAGTTTGCTCTCGACGATTTGCTTCGTATGTCATTGGTGTCCAAATAAACACATTGGTACTTTTGTTAGGTTTCGAACTCTGGGCCACCACGACAGTACGTTATCGTTAATACTCTTACTCATCATCATTAGCCATTACTTGTCCACTGCTGAGAATAAGTCTCACCTCACAACAAGAAAGAGACCAGAGAGAGACCAGTGCTTGCTCATAATATACACAAAGGCGTCTTCTTAAACGGAGACTTTTTGAGCATTAATCACGACGCTTATTCAAGGCGGATTGGCGATTTCAAACTTATAACTTGAAATTATAATCGTTGGTACTTACTTAGTATACCTAATTCAGTTTTTCTGTTTTCGAAACTTCTATAAAGCAGGTACTTATATATGACCAAAAACTATAAAATTTTAAATACATAGTCAGTAGTAATAGGCATGCCATCTATTACATGGACCATTTATGACTGACGGATAAATATGTATTATTAGTTTAAATAAGTATTATTAGTACAGTTGCAATTTAGTTCTGCCGCCGAGGCGAAGACGGTTATATAAGTACTAAATAACAGTATTTGTGTGTTGTAATAAAAGCATGCTGCACTTATTTAAAGGGTGCCAAAGAATTCCATAAATGATAAGCGGTGAGCTGTTCTGCGTTCCCTGGAGATAGTGATTTAAGATAGTTTTATATTTTCAGCTACTGCTGAAAATTGTGCTTGTCAGCAAATACAAGTACAGTCTGTGATAGGTCATTGCTAGACTAGAAGCCTTCTCTGCACGAGAGAGTTTGCCTTTACCTTCTACATTGCTGCCCAGCCAGGTAGGAAGGGAGAAGGGAAGTTCTTCGTGTGGTCTTTATGACCAGGCAAAGGCGAAGAGAAGACGACAAGTGTTTATACCCTTAATATTTATTTTATTCAAGCCTTTTTTATATAAATCAATCTACCATATACTATCTATCTATTACCTATACAAAACTAGACTAAATTATCTCAAAACCGAAAATATTTTTAACTATTTAACATCCTCGAACAAGCAAGTCTTAAAACGAAGAAGTGAAAATTAACTTTAGGCTTCCATTTAAAACAACATATTTTCGTCAATACATCAAAAAATGCTTATAAGGCAAAAGATCTTACTTGCATTGTCAAAAATTTTACAGATTTCATGTATATCTTCATATACCTATATTACTAGCTACTCCCGCGCGGTTTCAGTCGCTGCTCGGCTCCATTTGATTGTAGCGTGATGTTTTAACGGCCTATAGCACTCGGGAACATTGTAGCTATCAGTCCTTTTGGGAATCCGACCAGTGGTTCCAAAGATTACCAACTACAAATTTACTTCTTTATAATATTAGTATAGAAAATCCGCCCCTAAGGGTACCCAATGACCTAGAACTATAGATACAGAAGTATCGATTATGCCTGATATATGATTGTCTCTTTTATATTCAGGTGATGATGGCTCATAGATGTACCCTAAACAGTACCTAATGCAGTAATAAAAATAGTTGCTACCAACCCCTTCTCTTTTCCAACGAAACATGGCCCAGGTAGATAATACCTGGGCCACCAAACCTTTTAATCTGTGGTCTCGCCTGAAATGCGAGGCTAGTATGATAAACCCTCATAAGTAGAGGAAGCACGTCTTCCAGTGGTGGAGTATTCTAGATAAATAACGGAAATAAAATTATTATTCAAAATATACATTTTATATTTAAGTTTAGTATTATTTTTCAATTTAGCATGTAGCATATGAAGAAAGTATGCGGAAGTATAAGAGCTAAGGCTACTTTGTTTAATATTTTATTAAAATATGGGTAAGCGCTGTAGTCTATTTTTATCTTCCTTTTTTACCGATGTGATTGTATTCTATGTTATTTTCAATTAAATATTTTGTTTGTGATGGTTTGTTTAATTTTATTTGATATTTATGCAGTTATAATATTGTTTTGAACTTAGGTAAGTTCACTCATTTCACTTGAGCTATGTTCTGATTAATGTGATTGAAACAATAATAAATATATAGGTAAATCAAATGGTAAAAAATAAAATTCCAAGTACATTTCAAAGATACTTAATTATATCAATACAAATAATTGTCCCCAACCAATAAAACACTGGTTGCAATTTTATGTGGAAAATGAGGTTTTTGTAAATCTAGATCACTCCGGCCACATATTTGAAAACCACCCATAGTTCCAATTTAGAATGAGGGATGAGGGTAGACAGATACATGTGCTTTTTGGGATTAAAATTGACCCATTGGATTTCAAAGTCATGCACGGGAGAGGATCTCTTTTGAGCTAAAGAGAAATACACCATAATGAAGGAAAAGTGCCTAACCAAAAGCAAAAAGCTTTTGTTGTTGTCTAAAAAATAAATTTTAACTTAGTACTCACCACACACAGGGCACTTGCTCATCCCAAATACTTTCCACCATCTGCAAGGGTTTCAAATAATTTATTGTACAGTACAACAGGTGTCACCACATACCACACATTAAAAATATACAACACTTACCTACCTGTCTTGTTTTAGGCACATTTTTTTCTAAAAGATGTCCAGCAATTTGTATACTGCAAATAAAAAATTGTATAAGAAATTCCATCCCTACCATGAACCTACCTAATCTTACAAAAAATAATACTTTTATTTTATAAATATTTCTCAAAAATTATAGAACCAATTTATCTAAAGCGAACAAATCTTAATTATTAAAAAAAATAATGAAATGTGATGCAAGTTTTTTTTGTCAATTAAAAGTACTTACTGCTTACTTACCTACATTCAATGCAAAAAAAAACATTTGTAGAATTACTTACCTATCGAATATTTTTATCAAGAAATTATAAGATGAACACAGAGAATCACGTTTAAAACTCAAAGTTCCCACCGTCAAGTCAATAAATTAACAATTTACGGTAAAAAACTGCTTAGCAAAATATAAGCGCCATTAAAATTAAATACTTTGTTACCACTTAATTAAATAAATAATGTTATTATTGTTATATACTACTGGACGTAGACAGTATTGGATAGATAAAGTTTGAATTTTTATCCTAATCTCAATGTTGTCCTGTTCTCCTGTCCTGCCGGATGTCATCTGTCGAGTATTGCCAACTTTATTTTTTTCGACGATTGTACCAAAAATAATCGTATTTTTAATTTTTGTCAAGAATTCAAATAATTTGTTTAAATGATAACTATAACCAATTATACATAATTAAGAAAAAAAACCGAAGCCAAAACACATATCACTGGCATCGGTTTTTTATCATTTTTAGTCGAAGTTTCATTTGATTTTATGTCCATTTACATTTTACTTCATGGGTCTGATAACTTTTTTGAGGGAAAAATTATATAATAACTTCTTCTGCCCTGTGTGGCGAAAAGGAGAGTCAGACTATTACTGACTGAAAACCTCTTCTGCTCCGAGCCGGGAACGAGGTTTATTATTTCGCTTGCACACGCAACCCCGGCTATGATCATCCTTCCATGGGTCCACCAATGTTTATGTTTCGAGTTTGGTATATGTACTTTTTACGTAAATTTAAACACCACTACACGGACAACCTAATGGTAAGCAAACGGCAAAACCACCTTGAGCAAGCTTGGTGATAACATTAAGCGTTAATCACAACGCTTGCTCGAATTCACCTTTGCTCAGCAGAAGTGTGTAAGGGATGGTTTATTTTATTTTATTTATTGCAGCAGCGCTGTTTTTTGTATATTAAGTATTGTTTCGTATACTATTTTAGGTTTGTATCTAGTTCATCATCCCTATTAATTTCTGTCATAGATGTAGTAGTTTGGTGTGCATGTTGTATTAGCGCTGAGCATTTGTTCGTCAGACCTGTGCAATGATATTTTTTCCGTCTCTTAAGTAGTATTTTACTATCAAAGCTTAAAGACGGGTGGAAAATAAATTATTTTTCCCATCATTACAGTACACCCATCAGTAAATTATTAGTTTCCCTGCAGCACAAACCAGGAATTAATTTTTCCCGAGATTCAAGTTTATTGTGCCAAGGATTATAATAGTATAGTACGTAAACGTAATAAATCGTATAATTACGCTTTAAGTCGTACGATTGGCAACATTGTATCTGTCAATAGATGACATTTCGTTATATTACATCCTTTTTCAGGAATCAACACTTTTGTTTTTTCAGTTGTCATTTTTTTAAAGTGTCTCTTGAAATAAGAATATCCTTATGAGTTCAAAATAAGACAACAGACTTTCTAAATAAAACAGAATATCGCTAGAAAATATATTACCGAAAAATATACAAAAGGCTTGGAAACAAAAGAGTACATAAACACTACCTAAGTTATAACAACGCCAACAGAAAACCAACAGCGACATCTTGTTTAAAAATATGATACTAAACTGACAACATTTAAATTTATTTGACACTTTTAATATCTCTGTTCCATTCTCAGAATACAGAATATCAAAAGAAAAGCTAATTTTAAATGTGCTTGTATTTTTAATAACTACATATTATATTTCACAATCAAAATTATTTGGTGTTTACTTTAGTCACTTTGACTTCTTGTTGTCACCACAAAAGTTATATAAGAAAGTATTAAAAATGCTTTGTATCGTCATGTTTAATGAAACCTAAGCTTTAAATTAAACAATTTGTTCTTATAAGCGGCACAAATTGATTTTTTTGTGAAATACGATTTTGGCAATAACTATTTATTTATTTTAAGTTTTAACTGTCAAAACATATACACATTCTATTTTTTTTTTCTTAATTTAACTTTCTTCTATGTAGACGGAAGTTATTAAATGATTCATTATCAGCGACATCAAAACAAAAGCGATTTCTTTTGATTTAGTAGTAATAAACATTCAATTTCAAGAATTGCGTTTACAGCAAGCCTATAATATAATGTTTGCTTCTTAATTTTTTTGCCATGGTAACACTGTGCCGCTTAAAGTGTCGCCTGTGTCGCTCATCCATTTCCGCATGAAGCCGATATTTGTGTTTTGACATAAATATTATTCAATATTTTATGTATTTAGTTATTTAATTAACTTAATTTGTTTTGTTCAAAGTTAGTTTTATTTCAAGCCTATTGAAATGACTTGGGGTTTCGTAACATGCGGGCCTAACGAGGCGCTTGTCGTCTCCGGTGAGTATTTACACGTAAATCTTGTATTGTTATGCGGTGTCTAGCACTATATTCTATTTATGTTGTCGCTGTGTATTTTGCTAATAAGAATCTACTCATGTGAGAAGTGTCCTTGAGTTTTTAGTGTATAAAACAATAAGTTGTGTTGAATTCAGGATGACATCATTCATTGGATCAATTTAATGAGTGTCTGGCTAGCGAACTTGTAATTATAGTATGTACTTGCGCAGTACGTTTGTATATCATTCTATTCATTCAGAATAGGAAATTATGTTTTGAATATGTATGATCAAAATCAAATTTATTTCTAAAAGAATAATGACCATAATTAACTCATTAATTTAATATTAGTAGTTTAAAAAGACTTTATGCATAACAACAATTTTTTCAACCCTTTTTAGACAAAGGTCGCAAACTTCACTTAGCAACTTTTTTATCTGACTGTAAAACAAAAAAAATACATTTGGTCACTTTTAGAATAAAGCTATTCTAATTAGTCCTTGAATTGGCATTGGTTCCAGTCTTCCTGACCGAAAGGAGTGTATAGACTGGTATATCGTTGGTTTCCTTGCTTCATAGGCATCCCTATATTGGCATATAATTGGCATTTAAAATACTTATCATGTCCATAAAATGTAATAAGACCCAATATATTATTATACTTCTTCAATTTTGTTTTTGTTGTGTCTTTTATAAATAAATAGCGGCCTGCCCCTGCTTCGCATGGGTCCAACTATCTCGCTATCAAAGGGTTACTTTTTCCTAATCTTCCCCTATACTTTTCTAATAATTTCTATGATAAGAACCTTCTCCTAACAATAAGAAACACAATAAAAAAAGATTTAGTAAAATTGGTCCAGGGGTTGTTGAGTTATGCGCTTACCAACACATTTTGCGATCTATTTTTGTATATAAGATTACTTTATTAACATCACTTTATTATTATGTGTGGCTTTGTAGCTGGCGCAGTATATGTAGATACTTTTTTTTAATTTGGCTATAAAGTAGAATAAAAAGAAAATAACTTTGTAACTCACTGTTTCATCAATCAAGTGATTACAAGTACAACTTCCAAGCAGCACAGAGTACTGCCCTGATCCTTGGGTTTGATTACCCAGTCAGGAAAACTAATGTTGGAGCTTATAAAAGTATATGTATAATATACAACAATGTGCAATTACACTCAATAATATACATAATGCAATAAATTCACAGTCACATGGGACTTCTATCATTAATAACTTACAGGGGGTGGGACCTGAAAACAAGTTCCTCTTCATGTAGCTTTGAAAAATTATAAAGGTGTGATATCATGATGAATATTTTTGCAATTCCTTTTATCGCTATCTAGCATGAGCCAATTTCATGCAGATATTCAATATGAATTAGTGGCTTCAATCAGAAATTTTAATACCTATTTACTTTATATCAAGAACATGTATTAGAATGTATTATGGTCAATAAAAAATAGATGTTTAAAAAAAACCTGTGATTTTATATGTATTATTACTATACTGACCTGGAAATGAATATGTTATCATTAATTCATCAAACCCGAAGCAAAGGCCAGTGTTCGCACGCACACCTATTTTCTTATTATTCTGTCTTGAATTACCAAGATTGAAAGATCAAATAACTTCTGTTACATAATGCATACTAAGAAATCATTCATCTGGTACATAACAATAAAAATGATAAATTTGTGCACATTATTTCATAGATTCTGTGGCATAGACTCATCCAAATCACTCCTTAAAATAGATACCTGCTTTGTCTGTAGCAGCAACTGATTTATTTTTGCTTTATCTTGCACATGTTTATTTTACTTCTTTTGCATAGCTACCAGGCCTAGGTTAATACTTTACTATCAAATCATATTTAATAACTAGCGATTGTCGCGCGGTTTCGCCCGCTGCTCTGCTCCTACAGATCGTAGCGTGATATGTTATAGCCTATAGCCTTCCTCAATAAATGAAATAACAAACCAAAAAAGAATTGTTTACGAACCAGTAGTTCCGGAGATTAGACATTCAAACAAACAAACTCTTCAGCTGCATAATATGAGTATAGATTTTTCTCTTTTTGTGTAAAAAGATAAAGCTTTTGCGTAAAAGGATAGTTGGCGTATACCCAACTGCTAAACGTCGAATCATGGTAAGATGCCGTGATCGCTAAGTAATCTGTATTATTTTCAGTATTTACTTCTTGCCTGTTCTATCACTCATGTACAGCTCGCTACTCCTTATTATTAGACTGATTTAAATTCACAAAAGCCCTACTGCTATCTGCTTATATTTTCATTGTCTTTCTGTTCTGTTGCTTTTAAAAGTGCTATCTTAAAAAATAAGCAATGCGAACAATATAATATATTCTTTATCTACACCACTGACAAAAATAAGACGAATTGATAACTCAAAACTCGAGAGCTCATGCAAATGATAACTATGATAACATTTGTGATTACAAATATATACACATATTTTCTTTATGATGAATACGAAATTTATCTATTGTCTATAAGTAGATTAGTAGACTAGATTAAATGTCGTAAAAGACATGGAAACGCAACAGCAAGTGCAAGTATAATTTCTCTACAAACTCTTTGAAAGATAATTAGATATCGGCAGCTTTATACGACAAAACAAGTTTTGAAGCTCTTTTATTTGTAGTTCAGAAGAATGATAAATATATAATATACAACTATACACGTATGGTATACGTACGGTCATTATGTAGCTAGTAATAATAGCTGAGCGCGGATAGCCAGTTCGATCGTAGCTACGAAAATATTTACTGTTCACCTTTTATTCTGTTGTAACCTTGACCTTAACATAGTATATTTTCAAATAAGGCATTGATTTATACAGGATGCTGTTACTCAAAGCCACTGCTGGTGCCCGGTGGGCGTGCATTCGTTTGGCCGGCTATTCAGAATGTGCAACGAATCTCCTTGAACACGATGACCCTACAGGTGGAATCGCCAACTGTTTACACCAGTCAGGGCGTTCCTATATCTGTAACGGGAATAGCACAGGTAATAATATCATCGAAATCTTCTCTTAGTCGCGGACGCAAGTATCCTATTATTACAAAATGTGCATTTCAATCCCAATAACTAAAACAGCCTCGACACTGGATTATCGTACATCCAATCAGAATTTTAAATTCCGTGAATATTGTTTCTGTTTCACTGACTTCTAAAATTTGCAATATACATTTTCAGGTCAAAATCCAAGGTCAAAACGCTGAGATGCTGCTCTCTGCATGCGAGCAGTTCCTTGGTAAGAGCGAGCAGGAGATACAACATATAGCTCTGGTGACCCTGGAAGGTCATCAGCGCGCTATTATGGGCTCCATGACAGTCGAAGAGATATATAAAGACAGAAAGATCTTTTCGAAAAAGGTCAGTATACCATTGAAAAAAGAAAATATCCAGTTATTTAAAACATATAGGCATTATTTAGTAGATTTTGTAATATGAATGCAATCGGAAGTTATAGAATGTAATATATGAATAAAATTTGAGGTATTAAGTCATTTTTTATCTCATTTCAGGTGTTTGAAGTGGCGTCAAGTGATCTCATCAACATGGGTATTACGGTTGTATCTTACACGCTGAAAGATATCAGGGATGAAGAGGTACATAACATTTATCTGTTTATCTTGGTTTATCTTGGTAATTTATTCTAATAGGTTCAAATTAACTTTCATAAACAGCATTCAACTAAACATCTGTTTCCAAAACTGTTCACTAAAGTCGTCATAGTTACCAGACAAGACATGATAATCAAATTCACAGAACATGTTACACTGATTTCTTATGTCAAAGATATTTAGATTAATTTTTTTTCGACATGGCTACAGGAAGCTAAGGTATGTAGGATTGAAAGGTGTTGAATGTTTTTATGTCTCATTAAATACATAATTATTACGACAACATCATGAACGTCACTTAAAAGGCTTTGTTTAACGACCATATTGTCTCACAGTAGACAATATTGTCAATCTTTATCTGATTAGCTATTGGATAAGTTTATCATCATTGTGTGACATTTGGTTAGCTTTGCTCCACTGTATGGCCATATGAGGTTTGTTACGGCATGTCCTACTTCTTTGTTCTTTCTAAAAAGCAAAGAAATGCGTGTGTTATTAGCCACGCACGTTTGTCATACAGCTTTCCTGCAATCCTGGCCAGTCATCACTTTTCGTTTTAATTGAGGACGCTAATAATATGACCAGCCACATAGAATTTAGATATTTTCGTTTTAATTTTTTCATTCTTCTCTAAATAGCATATACAATTAATTCTCTTGCACTCTTTATATTATATTTATATAAAAAATCACATTTATAGAACTTATTATTACTTTATTTATTTTGTGCCACCAAGATTGACATTAAAATGTCATGGTATCGATTTCGTCCAAGGCGCCAAGGTGTGTCCCTATTGCGAGAATTAGTTCACGAGGTCGTAAAATTGTGTTGCGTGACAATAATTCTTTTGCGACCCGCCCTTCTTGAATAATGCTTGAGTCGAACATCTATCTGAATCAGTGGTTTTCTTGGCAATTGTGACCAAAGCGACCTAAATTAAAACGACTTAAGTGGGCATCTCAACACTCTCATATAAGCTGTTATTGGATTCAAACCATTCATGTTTTAAAAGTATGTACTCTTGCTGCTTATAAGACTGGCATAAGTTATCAGTTACCAGTGTGTTTACGGATGGCTTCAGCGAGTGTATCATGCTGAAATGTCTGTGTGTTGTTCTTGCTTTCAGATATAGCTTACTCATTTGCATCCAGTGCCATAATGAGTTCATATCACTATACTATACTTATATACCTCATATATATTTATATATCTTTGAACTCTTCCTAAACTACCATACTGATTATGATATTTAAATTTTTCTGATAGAACTTTATTTTTAAGCCAAATACCGACAAAATGTTGTCTATCGGATCCACTGACTGGTGATTATTTTAGAAATGGTAACAAACACTAAAGTTAATTAATTGCGAAATATATTTGTACAACAATTAAGAGATTAAACTAAATTTTAAACGACGTTACCAGTTCAATGTTGACTTAATACGACCCAAAGTTTTCTTACTGTTCGCTATAATGTTATCTAGTACTTAAAGATATATAAAAAGTCATAGAAAATTATAGTTGACCTTTGAATGTGCTTAGTTAATAACGCAATGAATTTTAGGGAAAATATTTACTGTGTCGTTAATTCAATTAATTGGTTTTTAATTGTGGTATAAACTGAGGGAAGGAAGTTAACCAGAGCTAGAACATAATGGTATTACAACTTCAGCCCAGAGGTACTATAATTGCTATTTGAGTATTAATGATACATTTACAATTCAAATTACAATCAGATTTTTTTTTATTGTTCTGATACGACTAGGTTATATGGCTAGACTAGAAGGAAAAATGAGGTGTGATTGTTTTGAGTCTCACCAAAATAAAGCTGGTTTATTAATTAGAGTAAGCTTTTCACTAGTGTATTATTCCATATTTTGGTAGGTTAGTAGGAGTGTGGGAGATGAAGCGCAGTGATGCATCCATCGTAGAGCGCGACACACAGTGAAACATATATATTGTCTTCTTAAGAATCCTAACATATCCGTGTAACCAAAAATTAAATACTATACGTCGTAAAATTATTTTGCACTTGTAGTAAGTACTATAAGGATTAGAATCAATTAATGTCTTAAACATAGTTTGTAAAAAAACTTTCCACCTCAAAGTTGCTTAAAAAGAAGAAAATCTTATTATAGGTGTATTCAATGATGTTTTTTGCATAGATTTGATGTATTATAGGCATATGTTGAACCAAACTTAAGTTTTGGCAACATGCAACATTTGTTTGCCTCAAAAAACACATAAAATCTTAATTTTGAACATTAAAGCAGTCTTAAATTTTGTCATTCTCATTAATCGAAAGCTTACATTTATCGGAGAAGATTTCTCCAATGTTATGCTGAGCCTAAAAAAAAGAAAAATACCCTTAATAAAATTACTCTGAAAGCAGTTTGGAATGTGATTCAATTAAGTGTGGGAGAGCCATGCTCCGGCACGAATGGGTCGGCTCGACCGGAGTGATACCACGACCTCACAGAAAACCGGCGTTAAACAACCACAGCGTTGTGTTTCGCCGTGTGAGTGAGGTTACCGGAGGCCCAATCTTTCCCCACCCCCAATCCCTCCTCAATCCTTAATTCTCCAAATCCGTAATCCCTAAAAGGTCGGCAACGCACTCGTAACTCCTCCGTTGCAGGTGTCCATGGGCGGCGCTGATTATTTACCATCAGGTAATCCGTCTGCTCGTTTGCCAATCTATTAAATAAAAAAAAAACTCGAAATCACTATCCCCTTATATAAGAGAAGTTGCAATAGGTCTTACAATGATTTTCGCAAATCAAAGTTCGTTTTATTATCCTCGATTCTACGTTTTTGGACAATTCTTAAGTATATATACATTAGCAGTATTAGGAGTATATTTAAAATTATCCATTCTCTTTTTTAATGTCTACTTATTTTCCTTGAATTAGATCAAATAGCATTAAAAAAACAATATGTGCGAAATTTACTGTGTCATTTTAAACTGGAACTTAAAATATTTACTAAATTATCGATGAGTATTACAGATTTACGCGATCGTATAGGTAGGTACTCGTAAAATCCAAGTGTTGGATGAAATCTAAGCAAAGTATGATGTTTTATTTATTATTTACTTACTTGTTTTTGTACTTAATAACTGTCCATAACGAAGAATAAGTAAGTATTCTTAGCAAAGACAATTGACCAGCAGATGGCGCTGTAATCAAAAACCCAGCGAATCAAAATAATCGAGTTGAAATTATATGCTAAAAAAACGCATATTATATTATTAGCTTTTTAGTTAGGTGGCAAAGGCGACTCATATACTCTTGTACGCCAAACACCACCAAGATAGCATTGAACAAGCCTGTCGATAAAAAAAACGCATTGATACTTCCAATTTAGACTATTATAATTAAATAAACTTAGGGCAGATTTTTCAATGGTTAGATAAGGTACCCGGGGGAATAATTATTATGCTGTCGCGTCAGAATGTTTGTACAAGACGGTGACAGCAATAATTTTATTCCTCAGTTAACATTTATCTGACTATTGAAAAATCAGCCCTTAATCGGACATGCTCTGCACAACTGTAAATGGTAAATAACTGGCAATTAATTTCAACAATTGTATAGAGATTATGTTTATAGAAAATCATATTATGATCACCAACACAATTTGATAACAATGAAAACAAGCTACCGAGAGATACATCCATGTTATTTTATTATTTAGTTTTTGATATTTTTGACTCCCATCATTTCGTATTATTATAAATTCATAATATAGCTAAGTTAAATTCATAATTAATTATGGTGGAAAACTTACTGTTTTTTATAAAATTTATTTTTAAGGAACTTTTAACAACATGTTATTCCAGTTCCATCGTAACCTTACACCAAAATCATCACAATTACAAAAATACTAGTAAGTGAACTAACATTGCTTCTGACGACATTAGTTTGCTTATAATATTTGCTTAAATGTACTGTCATTTTTAATTAAATATAACATTTCTTAAACCAAAAATTCAAGATTCAAGTTTACCTCAATATGTATGTACTTTTTTACTGATTTTCTCTGGATTCGTAGAGGTTAAGAAACAAACATTCATATCAAATTAAGATTGAGATTACGACCGTGATTATAATCAAATCCAAGAATTTTATTACTCACGGTACGCGGGCTTATCTTAATGCATCAACGTTTTTCAATGCAAAAATAAAAAAAATAACATGTAAAAATGAAGGTATCAACAATACGGTAAAAGAAAGTACAAGAAATCAATTATTAAATCTACGATTTTATCTTTATAATGATTAAATCTTATTGTAAACACGAATTCGGTAATATATTTTTTAAATTATCAAAAGTAATGTTCATCGCGTCAAATTGTATTAGTTCTAAAGTGATAACAATAATCGACCTTGCACTTTATAATGCGTCTTGATTGATATTCGTGCAGTGATAATGTACATACTATACTTATCCATAATTCATTTGTAATTAGTATTGTGTGCTTGGATAATCAAAAAACAGTGGCCCACACGCTATCAAGATTTAGTAGTTATGTCAGCAAAATATTATCTGTACTGAAATTAATAACGTTCTCAATAAGAATCGAAGTAAGCTCCAGCTGAGTGATAACCTGCCTCGACTGAAGTATACCCACATCCTCACAGGAAACTGGCGTAAATCAACGCTTGTGTTCCTTTAGGTTACCGTGAAACCAATTCTCCCCGTCCCCAATTTTTCTCTCTCCCAAAAGGCAGGCAACGCTCTTGTAACGTCTCATAAATGTCTGATTTTGGATTTTAATATCGCAAAACTCATGATAATGCGACTACAATTTTATAATCAATCAATGAGATCAGGAAATGCGACATCCTATACCTAAAAATTTAATCCGCTTAGCAAGAAGGTATATTGGCCGAGTAGCGACGACATTAAATTGAATAATAATCTGTGAGACTTTAAAGTGAATAATTTTAAAGTAGTCTTAATTACTCGAATTGAACTCCATGACACAGAAAAAGGTTCGACTTCTATTCGGTATGACACAGCAAATTAACTCTGTACTAATATTATAAAGAGGTAAAATTTTTAAGTATAGTATGTAGGGGGTAATTTTTAGAAGCGCTTGTCAGATTGCCAAGATTCTTTCACTGATAGATATAATACATCACGCTACGTTTACATGGAGCCGAGCAGCTGGTGAAACCGCGCGAGATTGCCTAGTGTGTTATATAAAATGTAACACATAAGATAAAAAAATCATGATGCCTTTTACATTCTAAAGAGTGGACTGTAGTCGATGCTTATTTTCAGTGTACTTTCATAACATAGGTACACTATGTAGTCTACGCAATGTTGTTAGAATTTATAGCTAAGTAATAATTGCCTTTAAAAATTTCACAAATGCAACAGTTCTATATTTATATTATTGTTTAATCGCCTTTATTGCAGTACTGCTAAGTGCAGTTACTTCATGTATCGAATTTTGTTAAAAGAATTACATTGGAATAGGAATTGCTCAGTTAGTTAGACATTTGTTACGGTACATTAAGGTTAACGTTTAAATCGAATCAATTCAATTACCTACATTGTAAGTAAACACTAGTAGTTTTAAAAAGAAAAGTCATTCACTTCTCTGCTCAAATTAAAAACTAATATCCACATTAAAGTTTAACCCACTCTTGGCTTCTGAAGTAATAAGCATAAAATGTATAACAATAACATGAATCATTAAGTAATAATCACCGTTAAAAATAGGTCGTAAAATTGCTAATGTTTTGTAAAAAATTAAGAAAGGTATCGATTAGTTAAACTACTATTATCGAAATGGATTTATTTTACATTAATTTATTAAACTTTTATATGTTTTAGTGCCTACTTGGATGTACACCTGGTAACTGGAGCTTATGAAAAGGCACTAACCGCCGTATACAGAGTCGTTAAATTATTATTTTACGCAATCCTTAGAATTGTTTTCGGAATGAAACAACTTCTAAGGAATACTCTAAGTAATAATTAAATGTCTCAAAGTACGGCGAGTTAAGGTACCCGTGTAATTATTACTTTAATAAATATATTTTTATGTGCAGGGATATCTGAAAGCGCTTGGTATGGCGCGTACAGCTGAAGTGAAACGTGATGCTCGTATCGGTGAGGCTGAGGCACAGGCAGAAGCCAAAATAAAGGAGGCAATGGCTGAGGAACAACGTATGGCTGCCAGGTTCCTCAACGATACTGAAATCGCTAAAGCTCAGAGAGACTTCGAATTGAAGAAAGCCGCCTACGACGTTGAAGTTCAAACAAAGAAGGTACGAAATTAGATAAACACCTGATTAAACTTAAGAAGTACCTATTGTTCGAATTTATATCATTTTATTCTAATATTTGAATTTCACTTTAATTTTAAAAATTTTAGGCTGAAGCAGAGATGGCCTACGAGCTCCAAGCGGCTAAAACGAAGCAACGTATCAAGGAAGAACAAATGCAGATCTCTGTTGTAGAGCGTACTCAGGAAATTGCTGTACAGAAATGGGAAGTACAGCGAAAGGAAAAAGAATTGGACGCGACTGTGCGCAGGTATGCTATCCAATATCTACCTTATTTACATTGGTTTTGGTAAAGATTTCAAACCGATATTTGGTTGTTAAATGAGAGTTATGCTGAGCAAAACTAGATGAAAAAAGAATATACATTTATCAATGCTTAGTTCTAGAAATTTCTAGATACGTAGTCTTGTATATAGTCCGTGCGAGAAGTCACGTTTTTCAATGACAGTCAACAACTTTCTTATAGGGTTTACCAAGAAAATGTGCGCAATAATCCTTTTTAAAACTAAATATTCCTAGTTTTCCCCATTTACTGCGAAAATAGGTTCACAATTTTCCTGTTAGTAGGTTACGTTGAGTGATAACATTTGTTTTGCAGGTTTTAAGGAAATTTAACATTATCCTTATTTGGTGCAATTTATTGCAATTGTTAATATATTATTATTATATTTGTTTGTTATTTCCTTTCACGGGACCACGGGGTCCCGGATCTTTGGAAGGCGTACGAGGAGCCGAAGCCAACTCGCAGAGACCCGTTGAACAGTTTTAATCTAAATGTGATGGGATATTATTATTAATGATGAAAAGAAAATAATGTTTTCAGGTCACATAGAATTCTTAATTCTATCATTTAGTGGTTACATCTCCGTTACTACAAATGTACTTTAAATATACTTTATGTCCTATGCAGACCAGCAGAAGCTGAAAAGTTCAAGTTGGAAAAATTGGCTGAGGCCCATAAGCTAAAAACCGTGCTCGAGGCTGAGGCGGAAGCCGAGGCTGTGAAAGTCCGAGGGGAGGTAAGCATATACACCAACGACATGTTAGGGGTGTATACCTACTAATGACGCGGTAATTTGCCACTGACGATACAAACGCATTCACTCCCTACGCACACGTTTACAGATATCGAAAATTGATAACTAACATATCGCTGAATTATTATACTTATGAATATCTATTCTTAACATATGTGTTCATGTTATATCACGATTCCATATTTGATTTGATATATCTCTGATGAGCTGGTATGTGCGCCTTAAATGCCATTTTAATATGTAACATTGTATTTCAATATATTCACGGTGTATTTCTGTAGGCGGAAGCATACGCTATCAAGGCAAAGGCGATCGCTGATGCGGAACAAATGGCTAAGAAAGCGGAGGCGTGGAAAGAATATGGATCGGCTGCTATGGTTGATATGATGCTCGAGACTTTACCTAAGGTAAGTGCCAACTGAAATCATAGTCTTTTGTAATTAAATTCCCATGGTCATACTTGGAAACAGTACCTATTCAACTAGGAAAAGGATTGAAATTAAAACAACTGAATTCTTGCTATAAAAATTGTATTTATGTTATACTACAAATAATAGAATTAGTACAAAAATAAACATTTGTTGATTAATACTGGTATTTTAAAGATGTCTAACTGGACGCAAGGGGAACTTGTGCTTGAAGCGACATTGTACGAGTGATCACATAATATATATTGTTTAGGTTGCTGCCGAAGTAGCGGCTCCGTTGTCACAAGCCCGTAAGGTGACTATGGTCTCTTGCGGTGGCGGTGAGGTCGGCGCTGCCAAACTCACCGGAGAAGTCCTCAATATCGTACAATGCATCCCCGAACTCGTCAAGGGAGTCACCGGAGTTGACATCTCCAAGGTAAGAAGGCACACATTATTCACATAAAGCTTTAATATAATCTCCACAATTTCAATTTTATCAGTTCCTAGCAATAATCATACGAATTCCCATACTTAAAATATATTTGTAAGCTAATAATCCTTCGTTGATTTACTCTGCTAGAAGCTAATAAAATAGAGTATTAGCCATGCATTTTTGTATGTCACAATTTTCTCGTATATTCACAGCACACTATCTGTTCTTCTATGTCAAGAATATTTGCAGTGTGGTTAATGGGTTAATGTTTTATGTGACACTTAACTATAATTAACAAATTTTATTCTTTCGTATCATGTCACTAGACCACGAAGTCGTGTAGGTATCTATTAAATCTATGAGAAACTAATTATCTGGTTACGCTTTATCCCCGACTCGAGATAAATAAGAACCTGAAACAACAAAACATGATTTAAGTTGCATAAACAATAAAAAACAAATTATCATACATTTTATTAAGTATATTTTTTTCCTCTTCAATTATATTGTCTGCTCGCTGTTTATTTGTTTTGGTGTTACAAACATATTTCATTAATTAAAGTAAATGAAATAAGATATTTTTTTATCAGATAATGTCTATATAATTGTTCTAAATATTTACTTTTTGGCCCTGACTTTGTCCACCGCTGTTAGCTAAATGGCTACAGTAGTACTTATAAAATGTATTGGTAGGTGCCTAAAAACGACTGAAACAATTTTGTCCATTCTTTTTATTAGGAAACAGCGAATCCTTCGTCGTACCGGTAGTTGGACATCCGTGTAAACCGGGTACTAGTTTCTAATAAAAAAATATAAATAACAACACTGAAACGTAGCCGATTGCATATGACAAAGTTTTTTGTAAAAACAAACATATATATTTGATATTGTGATATGCTATCGCCGGGTCATATTTTGAGACGAACTTGCCTATCTGATCACCTATGACATTTCTTAATTAAACATGATCTAGAATCATGTTTGAAATTATATATCATATTATTTATTAACTAACGCGACAATCTCGAAAAGCAAAGTTATATATGTTTTCATTATACGAATAGAAATTTATTTAATTCAATGTAACTGAATCGAATGCTAACTTTAATATCAAACGTTAGATTACCACGGGCAGTACCTACATTACTTGTACTTAATAAAAAATAGGAAGCTATACTTATGTTCTAGTTTAGTTTCAATGAAAAATAACATAATATTAAGTTTGCTACATACAATATTTACAAATAAATTAATTATGTATTTTAACATTTTTTTTACTCTTTAATCAATCACAATATGCTCATACAGCTCTCAATTTTAAAACATTTATTTTACTTTATGGCTACCATAAAGTTTGGTCATTTGATTTGAGATTCGAGTTGTGTTATCACTCTCACGCTACGAAGACCGCATTCATCTTCACATTCGTCACATAATACATATCTGTCAAAAAACACAAACAAGGAAGTTCACATATATAAGGGATATTATTAGTCCTTCCCATGACTTATTGTAAATAAAAATTGATTTGATTCATATTGGGAGTATAGAGTAATAGCTGGTTTCACTCGCGTATTCTATAGCCTATGTTTACCGGAGATCATTTTTCACAACAACGAAAGAATTTTTCATATCGATCATATAGTTTTGAAACGTATTTTGTGTCAAAAATATTTATTTTAATTGAACAACACACAGCAGGCACTTTTAGTAGGTAGGTAGTCCGTCGGGAATATATGTTGTAAGAACATACAGGGATTATATAATAAAAACATAACAACCATTTAAATCTATCCACTTTAAAATATTAATATAGATTCAGTAACCTCATACTAAACTAAAAGGGTAAACGAAACTTAGCTCTCTTTAAAAAACTAAATTCAAAATCAACAAATTCCAATCGATCTTTGTTTAAACAAAAAGGTCAGTGCCATAAATCCATTACAAAATATAAATTGCATCGTAAACAGTTAAATGTACCTACTTATTCAGGATAAAATAATATTTTTCTTTACAAGAAATGAAAGATGAAAAACCCAAATGATACAGGTTATCACAAAAATGATTAATTATGATTTCAGTTCAAAGTTCGAATTGTTAAACGATTGTCCAATAATAAAGGATTCTGTATGCACAATTACCACCGTAGGCACAGCTTTATTTATTAATGTTTTTCCTGTATGTATACCATGCCGTGTAGAATTTTTATTCCTATGAGTGCCACACAACACAATGTTTGTAAGAATTTGTTTAAGTTAATATGCTACTGAAATATTACAACCTAACTTAATATAATCTACTAATAGCTTTTACTCAAATATTCAAACAAATGCGTAAACTAATAAGTAGTTTACGCAGCTGTTTAGTTTGTAAATAACATTTATCGTAAAAATCTGCAAACAAAAATTTGATTTAAAAATTAAATTCCGTGTGTGACATTACGTGTTAGCTTTATATTTCGATTTTTCCAAAATCGTCTTGCCTTTTTAGAGAAAGACTTAATGGGCGTGGGGGATTCATATCTCACAAAAACCACGTCAGCGTTGTCGACTATCGAGGGTGATACTTCATGATTTTAACAAATAATAATAATGTTGTTATCCTTTACCCAAATTAACAATTTTACCGATGGAACCATAATTGTTTTTAGAATTAAATCGCACCACTACTCACAAGCAATCAGTTAAAAATATTGATAAGTTACTGAGATGCTTAAAACGCGTAAGATCAACTTTGTCATTTTTTATCTTTCCGTTTCCGTCTCTTCAATATTATTTCGTTAAAGATGTAGGACAAAGAATTGTATTTTATTTGTGTTCAGTGATGGAGTATAGACTTAATTGATGATGTTTTTATAATAACTATCGTGAGACATACTAAATTACGCGACGTCGCCGCGTCCGCGCACGATGCTCACGAGGAAGAACCCCTCCGTGGTTCGAAACTAGTAGAGCTTTTCTCAATATATACACGTGAGTAACCCGCGATTTTTAGTTAAATGATGTTACTACAAAATATTTAGATACAGAATGACGATATTAAACAAATAATCGCACATAAAGCAATCAGCGCTACTTACATGCCCAATCCCAATACTCATATCTGTTTAGTCGATAATTTAGGTAGCTATCATATTTGTAATATTATTATCTAATTTCCTCTACAAATACCTAAATGAATTGAAGACAATTAAACAGAGAATCTTACACGTGTACGTTAAACATGATGTTAAAATGTATTTACACTAGTATTACAGTAATACGGTAGTTTCCAATTAGTCAAATTAAATACTGTAGGTAATTCAAGTGTTAAAAAACTACTTTTCTATGCAATTTACATGAAACTCCATCGTGAAATTATGACGTCATCGTGTTTTTGGGCCAAATAGTTTTAATGTTTCTTAAAAATTGACTAAAAACTATCTATTTTTTTTGTGTCGACTGATCAACGAAAAAAAGTATAGTTATTTTTAAATGTTTTATTCTAGAACGTCGATTTAATCATTTTTGATCTAAGCAACTACCCAATTATATAAATAAATCAAAGTTAGAAATGTTCGAGTTGTTAAAATAAATCGCTAGTCTAGTGACATGGTATGATAACACTGTCTGCTGGTATCTAACGCTTTGCTTGACTAACGTGTCGTTGTCGATGTGGCCGCCGAAACAGGCTGTCGTGGAACCGCCAACGTTACCGACGCCGACTGCCCGCGGCGACTCCGCGAGAAAGCAGCGATAACTGCCGAACTTGTACTAGACATCTACTTAATGCTCATAAAGGTAAGGATCTTCACGCAGCTTCCAGTGTACGTATGCGCAGGTAACAGTGACGTCTGGTCTCGCTTTACACGTAAGTAATGCTAATTGTACTGTAAATAATTGTCCGTTTACTTTATTAACGTCACTAACTCTGTATTTATAATTTTCTCTCTCCACAGGCTAGGTAAGTATAATTCTGGCCTCATCATAATAATCATATTTATTATCTACTACTTAATTGTGACAGTTGGCAACTACAGTTAGCAATATTTTTTCTAAAATCATCAACCAAATATTACGATTTGTTATAAAATTTCCTTTGTTTATACAGCTGATCGCGATTTGATCGTTTGTGAAATATTGATTTGTCTTGATAAACTGAACAGTTCGCGCAGAACTAATTGTATTGTTTTTTATTTTGGCCCATAAGGCGCTTTTGTCATATCATTTGCGTCATATTAAATTAAAATTCGCATTTTCAATGTCGGACCACGTAAAGAAAGGCTTTACACGGATACAAGGATTATTAAAATACCAGATATGTACACAAATAAGCAACACTAATTTATATAGAAAACATGGATAGTTATTATTAGATTATTTGAGATTTCTATAAAAGAATTAAGTTTCTTTTCATACAGATGATAAAAAGGGCGAGATACGTGGTAATAATTGAAAAGTAAAGTAAATTTCACAGCCTCTTTTCAATGTCGATTCGTTATGAACTTTGATTATAACGGACCGTGAACTGCTTTTATTTCAGAGAAGAAATGAATAAGTAGGCAAGTTTCTTTTGGGAACTACTTATTGACCACCTCGTCTAGAAATGGCTTTTTTCAAAGTACCTATCAGCGAAGTTCAACAGCCTGAGGAAAGGACTTTTCCAATCTTTACCACTGTGCAATAGGATATACGAGATACTGTTCACGAATTATATCCAACATAGTAACCAATGCCCTACCTAATTAAAGTTTTTTATATGTAGGTTACTATATTTTCATACCTATTCGTATCGGTAAACTAGTCTAAAATTAGTTAGTACTAACAAAGTTATTAATTATTTAGCTACGCTTATCGCATAATTGAAGAAATTCGAAATGCTACGCGGCTGCGATAAAAGTAGATGTTATAAAACTAAGAAAAGGCGAGCGCACGCCTATTTATAAACAGACGACGACGTTTAATTAATTTGTTACCGATTTTCCTCCAAGTCGCTATGTTTACCGTAGTGTGACGAAGTTAGGAAGTAGACATCGCATTTAATCAATACATTATTTTTATTATCTCTGCGAATGTGTAAAACTGGCAAACAGTTCTTGCCTTGTAAAACCAATAAAAAAAAATCATAACATCATGTGCTAATTAGTCTAATCTTTTTCAGGGTGTTCGCGCACTTTAAAAGCTGCTTGCTACATTATATACCTACCTGCGTTTATTTTTATTTAACTACTTATGATAATAAGAAGATAGTTAAGCGATTATTTTTATTCGACCTAAGTGCCACTTTTGGAATGTTATCCTAAAAAATATACCAAAGCAAAATTATTAAAACATATTTAACTTTCATACTAAGATTTGTTGTAATGTGGTCAAGATTTTTAGCATTCTTAAGAGATTGTCATTATAGAGAGTACCTATCTGCCTACTCCATACAGCA